TCTCTCTGTGTGTGTGTGTGTGTGTGTGTGTGTGTGTGTGTGTGTATGTGTGTGTGTTAGACTTGGTATGCAGAGACAGGCACATCTTCATAGATTGTTGCTGGAGTTTTCTTTGTCCTACCAGGTTCTGCAGCTGCCTTTCCCCAAATAAGCACACAAAGACTTACATTAATTATAAACTGTTGGCCGAGCCGGGCGGTGGTGGCGCACACCTTTAATCCCAGCACTCGGGAGGCAGAGGCAGGCAGATCTCTGTGAGTTCGAGGCCAGGCTGGACCGATAGCCTCCAAAACAATACAGCGAAACCCTGTCTCGTAAAACAAAAAAACAAAAAAACAAAAAAAAATCTGTTGGCCGATGACTAGGGAGTCTTATTGGCCTGATCTCTCTTAATTATTAATCTATGCATTTCTACATGGATGTATCTTACTGGAGAATACCTGGTGCATCCTATCCTCCTGGTCACTCCATGGCATCTCTCTTCGGTGCCTCTCTGCCTACCTTTCCCAGAATTTGTGTCTCCTAGCCCTGCCTGCCTTCCTGCCTCTACAGGCTATTGGCCAAACAGTGCTTTATTCATTAACCAATAGGAGAAACATATCTACAGAAGGACATCTCCCATCAATAGCTCACTTACCAGCCAGTCTAGAGAAGTGGGTGAGCTCTATGTTCAGCTGCAAAACCTAAAGTAGGTGGGGAGTGATAGAAGGCACCCTAAGTCAACCTCCTGCCTCCACATGTACCCCTTTCCCCCACACACATGGATTACATCAAAGGTGGTAACTACCTTTAAAATGGTTACTTTTGTTTAAAAAATAACACAAAGTTAGATACCAGTGCAATAGATCAGGTATCATGTCCCCCAAACACATTTATTGAAGTTTTGACCCTTAAGGTATGGTTTATGAAGATGGGACTTCTGGTAGAGGATTGGGTAATGAGGACAGAATTGTCATGAATGGGATGAATACCTTTGGTGGTGCCTGAGTGCTTATGTCTTGCTTCTGACATATGAAGCACAGAGGGAGGGCTCAGTAAGAATCGCCCATGAAGCTGCTTTTACTAGTTCCTTAATCCTCTAGAACCAGGACTCAGAAGGATGAGAAATACATTCCATTGCTTTTCACTGTGGTGGTTAGTACTGACTATGAACGTGACAAAATTTAGGGTCACACAGGATACAGGATTCTGGGTATGTCTGTGAGAGAACTCTCAGAGGTTGGCAGACCCAGTCTAACCGTGGATGACGCCACTGTGTAGGCTGGGGTTCAGTAGTGAATAAGGAGAAGGAAGACAAAAACGAGCACTGCATTCATCTCTCTCTCTCTGCCTTCGGAATGCAGGAATAATGTGACCAGCTGCCTCACACTCCTGCTGCCGTGCTTCCCCCGCTATGCATACTCTACCAGGTGTGCCAAGTAGACCCTCAAACTGTGAGCCAAAGAAAACCATGCCCCCCTTAAGTTGCTTTTGTTAGCTATCTTGTCGCAGAAATAAGAATAGTGACTACAACACAATAACCTAAGTAGTTTGTGGCATTTACTGCAGCAGCTTAAATGGATTACACAATCAATGCTAACCAAAGCATGCTTCACACCAGAGTAACGACATTAAGGTGCCCTGGTTCTGGGTTCCCTTTCTAGAAACTCAATCACTCTCCTCAAGACACATGCCCAGAGACTTTTTAAAAGACTGAAAGAAAAAAAATCGCCAAACACGTGTACTTATTTGGCATATTGTAGCTTAGTATTTAATGTTGAATCACCCATGTAGTGAACCGCCGTATGATATGCATGTTCAACCAGCCAGCTCCCTTGAGTAGAGGGAACGCTGACTCTTATTAGGACAAACCTAGACCCCCTCAATAATTTAAAGTTTCCCTAGATCTCTTTACATCTTCTATTATCAGTCTTCAAAACATCTTGTAATTCTGTGTCCCTTTCTAAAAAAAAAGAAATTATCACTTCAATAACTGTGGATTTTCTTTTAAAGGATGCCCGACATGAAGTGATTCTGAACACTGACATGTGAAGGACAAACACTAAGAAAGGCCATAAAACTTCAGAGAAAAATACCCACGAGCTAGAGAGAACACTAGCTTTTTCTAAAGGGAATGAAAGAACACAGCATGTGTACGTTTTTAATGGGGGCGGAGGGATGCCAACAGTGGAATCAGAAAGGTTGAGCTTAGGACCTTCCCAGAACACTGACAGGCATTCAGCTTAGTCAGCTTAAATAGCATCTGAGGAAGACTTCTGGGCCATGCATGCTGAAGATGTTTTTGTGAGACACAGACGAGGCAGGTGGAAAGGACCATGAGGATGCGTCTCTCCCTGATCATCAACACAGGAGAAGAAAATAAAGCTCCTAGAAGGTCCCGACACCAAATAGAACCTGGAAATAAGGAGGCTGTAGAAGTTACTAGTTAATGTGCTCTCCTTAAACAACAGGACGACTTCATAGTGGATTCAGAAAGCATGGGCAAGTATAACAAGTACAGGTAAGATCACCAACAAGCATGTGTCCCAGAAAGGACCGTCATGAGAATATGGCATAATCATCTGCGCCCCTTTAATTTACATATTACACATATGTAAAAAATATGTAAAATCTGTTTTGAAAAGTTGAGCCTGGTATAAATCAACCTTTCCATGTGCTTTTACCCCGATTTCTCCAATCTTTGTCTTACATTATGTATTCTCTTTTTAAAACTTTTTCAATTTAAATTAGAAACAAGCTTGCTTCACATATCAATCCCAGCTCCCTCTCCCTCCCCTACTCCCCCACCCCTACCAGCCCCTCTTCCAATCCCCCCCTCTGTTCCCCAGGGAGGGTGAGGCCCTCCATGGGAGATCTCCAGAGTCTGTCATTTTGTTCAGGGCAGGGCCTAGGCCCTCCCCCCAAGAGTCCAGGCTGAAAGAGCATCCCTCATTGTGGGACAGGCACCCAAAGTCCATTTGTATGCCAGGGATAAATAATGATCTACTACCCAATGCCCCGTAGATTGTCGAGGCTTTCTAACTGACACCCACATTCAGGGGGTCTAGATCAGTCCCATGCTGACCTCCCAGCCATCAGTCTGGGGTCCAAGAGCTCCCCTTTGTTCAGGTCAGCTGTTTCTGTGTGTTTCACCAGTTCAGTCTTAACCCCTTTGCTCATCACTCCTCCCTCTCTGTCACTGGGTTCCAGGAGTTCAGTTCAGTGTTTAGCTGTGGGTGTCTGCCTCTGCTTCCATCAGTCGCTGGATAAAGGTTCATATTTGTCTTTTTGTGACTGGGTTACCTCATGGTTTCGTACAGCCACTTTGGAAATCAGTATGGAGATTCCTCAGGAAAATGGGAATCAGTCTACCACAAGACCCAGCAATTCCACTCTTAGGCATATACCCAAAAGATGCACATTCATATAACAAGGACATCTGTTCCACTATGTTCATAGCAGCATTATTTGTAATAGCCAGAACCTGGAAGCAACCTACATGCCTCTCAACTGAAGAGTGGATAGAGAAAATGTGGTACATTTACACAATGGAGTACTACTCAGTGGAAAAAAACAACAGAATCTTGAAATTTGCAGGCAAATGGATGGCACTACATTATGTATTCTTTAAAAGGTACTTTTAATGCCTGGGTTATATAGAGCTTAAGCAAAATTATTTTGCTTCTTCTTTTTCCACTTTAGAAATAGTACCATGATAACATTTCTTGTCATAAATTTTATTATCTCTACTTCTAAAGAGAAACGTAAAGGTATATCAACTGGTCACGTTTAGATTACTCAGCACACCCATTCCTATGACTCACCATCAGGCATGCCTAGGGAGAAGCTTCCAGCGAGCAGTTCCTCATGTTGTGGTGACTGTCAACCATAAAATTATTTCATTGCTACTTCATGGTTATTGTTATTCTATCGTTATGAGCCATAATGTAAACACCTGATAAGCAGGATATCTGACACATAACCTCCAAAGGGTTCATGACCCACAGGTTGAGAACCACTGTTCTAGGCAAATAAACTATTACTGGGTTAATCTAAATGCAATAACAAGAAACTTGGCTGATCCAGGTTTCTCCAGTTATGCATACAATTACTATGTTCTGAATATTGAAACTATCCAAGGCTCTCGAAAACACTTACTTTATCATCCTTTCATTTAAAATGATGCATGATGGACAACAAAAGGAGAAAGAGTACAGTCGATGGAAGTATATATATATACATATATGTATATCAAACAGTATGCAAATACGTAAGTTACATATAGTGGGATCTAGAGTTTTCTTCAATTTATAAATTTTCTTGACACTTCCGAGCTATAGAGATCATACATGCTCTCAATATACTGAAGTTCCTTAGGAAATAATAAGTTACACAGCCTTAACAGTCAAATTTTAAAATTTCTAGTCTATATTCTAAATTATCCTATTCTCAAGTCGTTAATAGAGTTTTCAAAATCTCTAAAGTATATGCCTGCATTAATTTAGTTAAATGGAGATACATTTAAAACGTTTCCCCTCTATTGGCCAATGAAAAATAAAGTAAAATAAATATATCAAAACCTCATCTCTATCACTGGCCATATTAACTTTAGAATCATTCAGATTCTAAGACCCCCTCAGAATTATCGTTCATATGAGGGCAGCCGGTGTTTTGCAGCCTGAACACCAAGCAACTCTGGAGGGAGAAATTGGATCCTGATCAATGTGATTGGTACTCTCTGGCAATCTACGCAGCTGCGTGTGATAACCTTGACGTTAGCGCCAGTAATTCCATTTGCGCACCCATTATTTATTTATGCATCTTTCTCTCGGGTGAGCAGCGAGAAAGAAAAGTTTTAGAACGAAGTAGCCTTTGAAGCTACCTACTTCTTTTCTGTTAAGGAAGAGAATTCTGCAAGGAAACAACAACAAATTTCCTGGCTCCCCTCTGTCACAATGATCGCAATCTTTCTGTCTTCACGGGGTTCCCATGCACCCACCCACCAGGAAGCAGCAGGCTACCTTGTGTGAGTAACTGCAGGTTTCTGACTTCTTCCCGCACCTTCAGTTGGAGCACCTGCTGCAGGATGTGCTGTCGCTGGTTCTCCAGGGCGATCCCCATGCGTTCCAGCTTCTTGTCTGTGAGTCTCAGCAGGGCTCGCCCTGCAGGGGTTTAACGAATAGAGAGGGATACAAGTGAGCAGTAACCTGGAGAATGACTTCCATCTTGGTTATGGCTAGTCCAGACCAGAAAAAAGTTTATAACTAAGTGCAGCTGATGTAGAACAGAGGGACCCCTATGGTCTATGCTGACAGGATGGTGATTTGCATAGCGAAAACCCGCCTATGCAAAAGAGAGCCCTGGTTTTTATGTAATAGTGGCAATCCTCAGTAGACCCAAACAATGAAGTAGGTAAAATAGTAAACTTTCACTTGCATATTTGGGTCACCAATTGCAGGTTTCCATGGAGACAGTGCTCTTCACTGGGTGATGGGTTCTCAGGCTGGCCAGCGGAACCTTTATTGACACCCCAGCTGTAGAACTAGATGCTCTCACTATGCTTATGGGAACTCCAGCAGCAATTCCTTTTTCGTGAAATACACATTTAAGGTCCGGTTTTAATCTGAAGGCATCTAGCTCTCTGACTCCAGCTATGGGAAGCTCTGCTCACTCCAACATTTGCTGAAGACAAAGGGCCCACAAAGAGGAGGGTTAGAGGAGACAAGGGGATGTCATTCAGGAGGGCAAAACCAGGAGCTCAGGAACTTATGATGTCACAGATCTAGGTCTTGGCAACTCAGCATGCCTCCCTTCCAACTCCATCTTTGTCTCCAGATATCTGCATGTTTTTCTTTTACCTTGATATCTATGAAGTCACCAAATTACACCCCACTTTGCATTTACCTTGAACTAAGCATACGTCATTCCCAGGGCTTACTCTAAGAGAGCGATCTTGTTCAATGCTTGCAGCACTCTGTTTACTCTCTTTCTAGAGTCTCACCTGTCACACCTGTGGATCTGTTAGCATTTCTATTATGAGGGAGAGACAGAGCAGGTGTCTGTGATCAATGGCAAGTTTGTGAGTACAGGATTGTATAGGTGTTGCAACTGTTACGAAGTCCACACCCACTCATCTTGGGTGTGCTCTGTTCTTTTCCTAAAACATCACTGTCCCTTCCCTAATATCCATGTTTAGATCAACATTAGAATTGCTTCTTAGCAAACTGCAACTCTGCTTCTTTGTGAAGAAAGGGATTAAATATTCTACCATCTTAGAAAAGAAACCAAACAACGAGATGGTGAAGTTAATGACCATTTCCATCAAAGGAACAACGAAGTCCATGAATGTAGCTGATGAATGCACAGCCTGTCAGTAGATACAGGTGGATGGAGAGGAGCAGCTAGGAGAGTCAGTGCTATTCAATCTTCATCTTCCCTTCCCATTAACCCTTGCACAGAATACTGGTCAAGATAAGCTAGGTTATGTGCTACCTATGGTGACTTAAAATTATATTGCAATGCTTACTGGTTTATCCTGAATGGTTTTTGTTTCTTTGCTTTTGAGACAGGGTCTTACCAAGTAGCCCACGCTTGCCTTAAACTTCAAATCCTCCTGCCTTACACTCCCAAGTGCTGGAGATAGGGGCACTGCACCTGGCTGTATTCAGACATTGATTGTAAGTCTACCTTCCTTGAACTTAGTAATCTTGATGATCAAAGCAAAGGTAGGTAGAAAAAAAGTGCTTATATATCTTATCTCACCAATGAAATGCTTGTTCTACAGTCATTTATTAGCCAGAAATGACATAGCCTTTCCTACTTAGAAAAAAGCTAGCTGGCATTGTGATATGATTCCCTCCAACCCTCTGCCCAGAATTGAGGTGGGTACAGTAGGGTAGGTAGGAATATTGGATGGGAATATTGATGACATGACCATGGAGCATTGTTTGGGAAGAAAGTGTGTGTGTGTGTGTGTGTGTGTGTGTGTGTGTGTGTGTGTGTGTGTGTGGACAGTGATCTACAGCTTCTATGACATTCTGACAGAAGACCCACAGATACAGATCAGGCTAGGTTCTGCTAGATAATCATGGCGACCATGAAAAAGGAACAAGAGGAAAAAAGCAGACACACTCCCTTTCCATCGCCTCCTGCAGCAAAATAGAGTAACAGCACTGGAAGACGGTACAGTCTAATTTGTTACCTTACATGGCCAAAGAGGCTTTTTAAAGGTGAGTGAAGTACACTGACTCTAAGATGAGAGAATATCATATATCATCCAAGAAGCGCATCAAGTCTCACTATAAAGGAACGGGGGGGGGGGGGGGTAGCAATGCCAGGAGCTACGGAGTCCCCATAGATACAAGAGGTTAAGATTCCAAAATCGCTTTTCTCCCACACACTCCAAATGTCATTCCTCTAATATCCCACTTTGAACCTCATGGCAGTCATTTTTGAACTTTGGAATTTCATAAATGTAAGATTATCAACATGAATAACTTTAAGCCTTTGTTACAGCAGCAGTTATCCTCATGAATGGAATTGACATCATTTCTAAGAACTCAAATAGACTTGTGAAAATGGAAGCCTGAAACAATCCCAGCATGGATGGGGAAGCGGACACAAAGACTCAAAGACTCACCCCCAGCTGAGAAGATATTGGCAATTGATGGCTTCTGGGAAGAGAAGAGTTTGCCTTAAGGGTGTGTCACAGGCCTGGTAGGTCAACCATGCTCCAGAGGATGTTCCCATGCCCATTGATATTGGGGTAACATAGATTTAATTCAGTTTTTTTTAAGGACATGAAGTTGGATGGGTAAGTAAATGGGAGCGCAATGAGGATGTATATGATACATGTTTACAAATAAAGTATGAGGGCCTAGAATTCCCTAAGAATGAATAAAACTAGTTTTTAAAATAACTTAAATAGAGAGCTGCTTCCTTTTCTAATTTCTATGTGGGAGACATAATGAAAAGAAGAGAATGGGTGGTAGTTAAGAAACAGTAACCTTGAGTCCTGGGTCTGTCTGTGGAGGCGACACTGAAACACGGGAGAAAGACAAGGGCATTGAAGCCTCAAGGAAGTCAGAGGAATGGAGAATGTCACTAGTCGTAGGGCAGAAGTAGGAAGCAGGGTCTGAGAGGAGGCCAGGACAGAGTTCAAGAGGGCCTGGCAGGCTTGGGGAGGACTGGAGATTGAAGTGTGACCAGTTCTGAGCAAAGGTGACTTGGGCATTATGCCGTGTCTTCACTGGATTGTCACTGGTCCTTATGAGGAGAATAGATGGGAGGTTGGGACATGGAAAAAGTCAAAACAGGAAGTGATGGTTCCACAAAGCCGGGAGGTATGGCAGCAGCCATAAGGCTCCTGGCTCTATATTTATGACTTTACAATTCCTAGAGGTAGCAGAGAGGAAAGGAGGCCCTCGGTTCCCACTCAGGTTTCCCTGCTAATCCACAATGGCTGGTGACCCCTTTTATGAGCAGGAAACTGAGTCACTGCTCCAGGAAAGGATGTGATGGAGGCAGGAAATCATGGCCTGTTCCTGCTATTCTATCTCCAGCAAACATCTGGGGGCTGCAGAAGTAATGGACTAGGTAGACCTAAAGAAGTAGGTGATTAACATGTCCTTCTTTGCTCCTCCCTTAATGTTGTCATTCCTTCAATGCTGGCCTCCAACCCCCAAAGGACTGAGCTAGCAGGAAGCATTGTTAGATAGCGGTAGGAGTTAAAGGAATAAGAGGTTATAGGTAAGACCCAGCCTCTGTAGGGATGATCCAGATCAGATGCTGCCGTTGTAAAAAATATTCACAGGACCCCTTGACTTGGGCCAAGGAAGACTCCGTGAAGATGTTCACACAGCAGAAATTTGGCTGTGGTGTTCTGGTTGCATGTGAGTGTTGCTGCATCTGAAGCTTCAGTCTGTCCTTAAAAGCATTATGGTGTGTGGCCCTCTAGCATACCAATTCCATGAACACAGGCATGATGGCTAACTTCATAAGCCAGCTTGACTGGACCATGAAAATACCCAGAGACTTACTTACTTATCATTTTGAGTGTTTCCAGATGATATCAATAATTATTTATTTTCAAGTTTCATTTACGTGTACCATATTTATACTATTACCCCTTCCTTCCAGCTCCTTCTGTGTATTACTCCCACCACCCATTCCCTCTCAAATTCGTAGCCTTCTAAAAATTATTATTGTCACATATATGTGTGTATACAAATAAATACATGAATGCAGCTTGCTGTGTCCATTTAGTGTAGCTCATTTGGTCATCTTTTTAAGACTTACTTCTTGGTATTCTATAATCAATCGGGGGAAGACTGATTCGCCCTCTCTTAGCAATCATTAATTGCCTGTATCTCTTTATCTAAGGGTAGGGCCTTGTGAGATTTCACTAATCAGAATTGGTAAGCCAACTGGCATTCAGATTCTGCTTAAGCAACTACACCGCTGAGAGTTCATGGTGCATCTCTCTTATCTTATATAGATGACAATCTTGTATCGGGTGTTCTGACCTTTGGCTCTCACAGTCTTTCCAACCCCTCTCCCATGATGTTCCCTGAACCTTAGGTCATTGAACCTAGAGCAAACTCTACTACTGCCATTTTCTTAAACCAGTGTTTACTTGTATTCTTAACATTTATCCTTATGCCCACAGAGGAGTGTAGCTCATCAAGGAAACTTTCTTTTGCAGTAGATGGGAACGATTACAGGAATGCTACAACTGGTCAAAGCACAAGGAAACATTGACCAAGAGGTGCTCAGCCCCAACTCTTACATCTCCAACACAGCCCCTACCTACACCTAAGGCTCAGAGATTGGTACTTAAAGTGATAGAACAGATAGGGCAGATTGCTTCCTATAGTGGATAGCAGCTCTTGCCTCCAAGCTCAAATTAGGACATCAGCTTAACAGATTTTGAACTTGGCAATTTCTATAACTCCACGAACCAATTTATTTTGTCTATCAGTCTGTGTGTGCACAGGTGCGTGCGCGCACACACACACACACCACTAGTTCCGTTTTTCTGGAGAATTGTAATACTGTATAAAATTTCCCCTATCAGGTCCCCTATGCTGGCACATCATTATGCTATAAATACATATTTTAAAGCACTCCTTAAGGTGATTTTCTTTACCCATGTATTGATGAC